AAGCTGGAAAGCAGGCCACCGGGGTGCAGGGCTTGCCTTGGCCCCTGACTCGCTCTGCGATTTTGGAGAGTAGCCAAGCGGTCCATCTCCCCTCCTGGAAAGCTGAGAGCGAATCCCAGAGGTGTATTCACCCAGCAGTTTGTGGTCACAGGGCTAGGGAGTGGTGGTTGCCAGATGCCTTCAAGAACGCCAGCGCAAGGACGAAGGGCACCAGTCGCTCGCCTCCGCCCTTGGCCAGCCACCACCTCTCTCCAGCCACCACCACCCAACCCCCGCGCGCCGTTTGCTCCGTGGCTCCGGTTCTTCAATCCGGGCTCCGGGTCTTCGCTGACGCTCCGTCACTCGGGAGACGCGGCGAGCGGCTTGCGGTTGCCTTGGGAACCTCGAGGCGGCCGAGGCGCGCCACGCACGACTCGGAGCGCAGGGCGCTGGGCCTGCCCCGCGCTCGGAGAGTGGTCTTTGGTGTCTCAGAAAGACACCTGTCGCCAGCGGCGCGTCGCAAGGTTTGTTATGTTTTTCTTTTTTGTGTAATTGAGGTGTAACTTACAAACTGTAATATATCTTAAGAGTATGGCTCGATGGATTTTTACATATGCCTAAAACCCGTGTAATCACCACTCAAGCAAGATACAGAACACTTCTAACGCCCCACAAGGCTTCCTCGGGCCCAGAGGTTATTTTTAATTGTCTTTTTTTGCACTTCTGGAATAAACCGGCGAGGGAGTGATCGCCTTCTGAGAACACAGAATTTTTGTGTTTTCTCCTGGCTCTGCTTTGCGGGCCCTCTTTGGGCCTCAGTGTCCAGTAAAGGGGAGCAAGGGACCGGCATTTGATGAGTGGTTTACTCCTTGCAAAGTGCTTTAGGTACCTAGCTAACTTCGATTCTGCTAACTAACCTATGAAGTCAGTACTTGGTTTATACCCGGATTACCCATGAGAACAGTATGACTTGAAAAGGTAAAACGAATTGCCCAAATTCCGACAGCTCATCAGTAAGTGGTGAAACTTGAGACTTGAACAAGGATCTGTCTAACCTTGACGTTCATCCTTCCTCCCTCCCCTCTCCCCCCGCCCCGGTTTTCCCATCTTTTAAAGAGCTGTACAAATAAAATGCGCTAGGAGAGTGGGTTGTATCATATTTCTGTGCCTTGACACACGTGGTTGCTTCTATTTGGGACTCCTACTCTCTTCTCCTAGGTTTTATCCTTCAGGCAAGCTTCTACTCATCCTGCAAAGCCCACTGGGGCATCGTTTGAAGCCTTCCTAACTGCAATCCTCCTCTCAACTCTCTGCCAACAAGGGTAATTACTCTCCATCTGTGCTATATTTAACGCATGCACAGACACGGCCTCCCACAGTGCCCCAAGGGCTCCTTGAGGCTGCCTCTAGGTTCAACCTGTAAGGCACCAGCACACAGCTGGTCTTCTACAAATGTGCTTGGAACTGAAAGTGGAGGAGAGGTTTTGGAACATTGGTTTCCTGCTGTGCAAAAATTGGACTGTACTTGCCCTGCTGCATGTCACTCAAAAGATATTGGGGAAGGGGTTCTTCCCGAACACCTGGGGCAGAACCGCAGGAAGAGAAAGGCTACCCTCAGCCTAGGTTAGGGAATGGACTTGACCGTGCCTCTGGAGTGGGACCTCGGGCTGAGGAAAGAGTTCTTTCCTTCCACAGGTGAGCATCCACTCGTGTATGCGTGTATGCCAAAGGAAGCCATAGTGGCCCCTAGTGACCTGCAGGGAGTCCCAGAAGCTGGGACTCACAGGGCCCTGCCCAGTGAAAGGCAGCCAATTAAGTGTGGGGTATCCTCAGGATAGTGGTTTTCACTTTACATCCACACAGAATTCGAGGCAGTTGGCATGATATTCACTAGAGCGGTGAAGTATAACAAAGAGCTACGACCAGGAAGGAAAAGAGATCATTGTACACACTTTTTTCTATAACTGAGTTACTCCCCCATTCTCTCTCTCCTTTGACTTTGAATGTACAATTTGCTTTGTTAATGGGGAAAAAAAGAACCCTTGCCCTTTGAGCTGAAGGAAATTTCCCTCTTGGCTTCCCCCCAACTGCATTCCTACAGCAGACACATTTGGGGTGTCAGGAAAGTGACGCTCACGGGGATGAGGGACGCGCCCAGAACCACCCAGCATCAGGGACAGATAGTGTCTGATGGTGCAGGTGGCCAAAGTGCTGGCATGGGCAAGGGCCGAGTGTTTTAAATGAGCTCATGATTTTTCCTCTTCTCCACAAGGAGCTTTGAAAAATGCTCCACATTAAAGATGGGGTAGGTATGAGAAAGGCAGGGCTCATTACAAAGAACAGAGTGGTAGAACTTTGGGGAGAGGGGTCTATGTGACCTGGAGGAGCAAGAGACAAGTTTGAGCCTCAGTTTCCTCATCTGTAAGATGGGGGTGATGATGGGGCACCTGGGTGGCTCAGTCGGTTAAGTGGCCAACTCTTGATTTTGGTCCAGGTCATGGTCTCAGGGTTATGAGATTGAGCCCCAAGTGGGGCTCTGTGTTCAGCGTGGGGTCTGCTTGAGATTTTCTCTCCGTCTTCCTCTGCCCCTCCCACTGCTTGTGGACGCGCACTATCTAAAATCAATCAATCAATCAATCAATCAATCTTTAAAATAGGGGTGATGAGCTCTCTGTCTTGAGACAGGGAGTATCGGTTTCCTGGGGAGGCTGGAAAGACTAGATGCAAGGAGGACCAAGTTACCAGTTGGCAATAATTTCCCCTTCATTATCCCCATTAACGATGGGAAAGCTGAGGCCCAAGGAGAGGACATGGCAGGCTCAAGATCTCGGTCCTGAGGCCACCCAGCCTGGGTTCTGTCCCTTCCACCATCATGGTTCTCAGACCTTCCCTGGCCTCTGTCAGTTCTCCTGGGGTCGGGGGGTGGGGGGAGGGCTGGAGAAAGAGAGGGAAGAGGAGAATTCTAGCCTTGTTCCAGCCCCCGCAGCAGTTGGGACTGCTTCTCAGGAGGACAGATGTTTCACCAAATGGCAAATGCACGTGCTTTTCCCTAGCTTGGGGAGGAGGTGGGTGCTGAGGAGACGCCAGCCGGTAGGGCCCAGAGCCGTAGCCACACCTGAGGGGTTTAAATAGCCACCGCCTTCTCTGGGTGATGCTGGAAGAGAGGCATCTGGGCAGGACTGGCGGGGGGGGGGGGGGGGACGGGGATCAGAGCAGCCCATTCAGAATCTGTCACAGCCCCGAAATGAGTGCCTGGCTCCTCCTCCCAGAGAAACTTGGCTCATGCGCCTCACCTCCCTGGACCTCCCTAGCTGTCACCTGCAAAGTGAGGACTTAAAGCCCACTGCGGAGGGGGCCTGTCGAGGCTGGAGAGAACTCACTTACGTGCCTGACCCATGCATGGCACCCAGTCAGTGCTCAATACCTGATGGTTGTTGTCATCCCAACCTCCCTGCCAGGGCAGGAGTCCCCAGTGCAGCATCTTTGACAAATGGGCACCCACCCCCTGCTCACCAACCTCTGGTGACAGAGAGCTCATCATCTCCCATGACGACCCACCGTGTAATGTATTAATTTATTTGCATAAACCCTGGGGGTGCCTGGCTGGCTCAGTCAGAAGAGCATGCAACTCTTAATTTTGGGGTCATGAGTTCGAACCCACTTTAAAATAAAATCTTTAAAAAAAAACCCCGCACTAATTGCATAAACCCTGGAGTCAGACAGTGTGTTGGAATCTAGGCTCCACTACTTAGAGTCTGTGTGACTTAACCTCTCGGTGCCTCAGTTTCCCCAGTGTAAAATGGGAATAATAGCGGTAGTATCGTTTAGATCAGTGCCTCTCAAACTTCCATGTGCCCGTGAATCAGCCAGCGATCTTCTTTAACCGCAGATTCAGAGTCAGTGGGTCTGAGGTGGGGCTCGAGATTCTGCATTCCCAGCCCGTGATACAGATGCTGCTGGCCCTTGGACCACATTGAGAGTCTCAGAGGACTGCCTTGCCCTGGGAGCCATGGTGAGGGAGCCACGAAAGGGTGATGAGTCGGGGAGTGACAGATTCCATCATAGCAAAGCCTCTCTGGCTGTGGTGGGGATGGAGATGGGAGGAGGCCAGTGTTTAGGGAGAGATGAAGGGCCTGGGTGGGACAAGGGCCTGCTGGGGTCAAAAGGAGGGTGGTAATAAGGGCCCTTAGCTTATGTGGTCCGCTCTTACAGACGCAGAGACCAAGGTCCAGAGAGGGTGGGTGGACCTGCTCAGGCCACACAGCACTGGGAGGACTCCTGCCCACCAGTGGTCCTTGCCCTTCCCCCTTCCTGCCTCCCATCTTGGTGGCCAACAGCCCACGGCCCTCTGGAGTCTCCTGGCCTGTGTTCCTGTTTATCATCTTGTCATACTAAGAAGAGGAAAACACCAGGGGGGCCCTGGATCTCCCTGACAGACATCTTTCGTACAGTAACCTCATTCTACAGATGAATCGACTGAGGCCAAGAGGGAAGGCCCACAGCGGGGAGGCTGGACCTGAGGTCAGCCTGACTCCAGACTTGAGGGCCATGACTTACCCCCTTCACCTCCTACTGGTCAGGGCAGAACAAGGTGGCTCTCCCAGTGAACAGGTGAGAGGGCCAGGTATCGGGCTCCAAGGAAGGAGGAGGTGAACCCCAGGTTGATGGTGACAGGGGCAGTGGGTGACATTTATGGGGTACTTCCAGCCTCCGAGGCTTCTGCCAAGCGCTAGCCCGCGGAACCCCACTCCACCCTGGGGCCCGCCTTATTCACCGGGGTCCAGATGAGGGGACTGAGGCGGCGAGACCCGGCGCGGCGGCTGGCCCGAGGTGGCGTGCAGGAGGCCCCGGGGGCTGCGGGGCGGGGGGGGCGGCAGCGGAGGCCGCGGCCGGAACCCCCCCCCGCCCCCGGCTCGTCCCGGCCGCCCCGCCCCGGGCCCGAGGCGCTGGGCCGGGCGGGAGGCGGGATCTCGGGCGGCGGCGCTTCCTGGCTCGTCTGGCTCGGCGGCCGGCCAGGCCACGTCACCGCCCGGCCGGGAGTGCGCTGGCGGAGCGGCGGCGGGCGGGGAGCGCGGGGCTCGGAGCGCGGGCAGCGGCGCGCGGGACCCAGAGCCGGGCCGGGGACGTGGCAGCCGCCTCGCCCGCCACAAAGTTTCCCGGGAGTTGGCGGCGCGCGGTGCCGGGCCGCCGGGGGCACCATGAACGTGTTCCGGATCCTCGGCGACCTGAGCCACCTCCTGGCCATGATCTTGCTCCTGGGGAAGATCTGGAGGTCCAAGTGCTGCTCGGGTGAGGATCGCCCCCCCCCCGGGCGGGGGGGGCGGGGAGGCGGGGGCGGGCCGGGGCCAGCCGATGCCGCCTGCCCGCAAGGTGAGGACTTCGGCTTGGCGGTGCTTGAAACTTTTTGCACAGCTCAGCTGCCAAAGAAACTTTCATGTTGGACTTTGTTAAAGAAGGAGGGCCCGTGGAGATTAGGGACGGAGGGTGGGCTTGTGCCTCCACTCGCCCCCGCGCCGTCCCTGCCTTGGCACTGCCACTGCTAGTGGGAAGAGGACGGAGATACGGAGGAGGCGACACCCTCTGGCTCCTGCCAGTCCCTCCCTTCGCTCCGCAGCAGGGGAGGCCTCGGGCGCGGTGCGATCGGGAGGTGGGGGGAGGTATGCACACAGGAAGTAGCCTGCAATTCCCGGGGCCTTCTCTTTCCTTCCCCCACCCTCTCCCCTGCCCCCCTCCAGACAGCCCCTCGGGCTGGGCCCTCTTCCCTCCCCCGCCTGTGAGCGCACAGGAGGCTGTGATGTGGCAGGAGGGACACCAGGCCCGGCCCCGGTGAGCCCGGAGCTGCCCCTGAGCAGAAGCCCAGGGATGGCAGGAGAGGTCCCAGCAATGTGGAAGCCCTGCTGGGGGTTTGGAGAAGTTTCACAGCGGGACGGGTGGTAGCCAAAGAGACTCAGTGCATGAAGAGGCTGCTCAAGCCTCCTGCAGCCATCTTTGTCCGCTGGTGTCCCGGAGGCACCCACCCTGGACTTGGCACTGGGCTGAGGGGATACAGAGATGAGTGCAGGCTGGGCAGGGGGCCAAGGAGGCAGAGAGCAGACCCCTGAAGGCTTCATGGAGGGAGCAGTTCTGTGCTGGGTCCCGGAAAATGGGCAGGGTGTCGCCCAGGAAGGGTGTGCTGTGTGGAGGGCACTGGGGGTACAAAAGCCCACAGGTCGCAGAGGGCAGGGAATGTCCCAGGGACAGCGAGTAGCCTGATTTGGGGGTGGTCCGTAAGGGAGATGAGTGGCAGGGGCGCCGGGGTCCAAATGTGGAGGGGCCTTGTCTTTCAGGCTAGGGAGCCGGGACTGGGGAGTGATGGAAGTTTGGAGAGCAGGGGAGGGGGCCCGGAAGGGACCGGAAGCAGGTCACTCTGAAAGCTGTGTGGACCCACCGAGAGAGGGGGCAGAGAGAGCAGTGGGGGCGGGGGGTGGGTTGGTGTGGGGTGAGGGGTGGGTGCTGGTGTGAGAGACCTTGCAGAGGGAGTGGTTCTGGACCTGCGGGCCGTTCCAGTTTTCGGTCTCTGGAGAGATAGGCACTCACGGCCCCTCAGCTTCCCACTCGGGGAAGTGAGGCAGGAGTCCCGGGAGGGGCTCCCAGCTCCGGTGAGGGGAGGGATCTAGCTCGGACCTGTCCCTGCTCTTCCGCGGAGGGCCCTGGGCGGGATGAGCAACCATGACCAGGAGGGGTCGCTGTTCCCCAACCCACTCTACCAGCACGGCCCTAGGCCCGCTGGACATAACTGGGAAAACAGGGACAGAACCCCCGGCCTGGGGGAGCGGACTTTCTAGCAGTGGGAGACTGCCAACAAGCAAAAGTCGAAGCAACCAAGTAAATGATAGGTTTGTTAGACGTGCTAAGTGCTACGGAAAAAGGAAAAGGGCAGCTGGGTGCCGGATCCTGTGTGTGTGTGTGGAGGGGGGTTGGCATAGGCCTGGTTGGGATCTGAGGAGGTGAGGTGCCTCGATGCCAGCCCTGTCCACCCCGAGATGCGGAGCCTGGTGAGACCTGCCCTGACCACTCCTCACCCACCCCCCCCAAAGGTAGGACACTGGGGCTTAGTTCTCACTCAGCCACTGACTCACCGTGTGACCTCGAACCTGAGTTTCCCCATCTGTGAAATGGAGGGAGGGCTGTAGTGGGTCCCAAATGTGCGCAGTGGACCCCTGAGGGACTCTGGCCGGGTACCGGCTCAGTTCTCTTCTATGTCCTGGGCCTCTGTGCGTGGCTTGCTCTGGTGGAAATTTTTCACTGCTTTCGATAGAGTGTGAAAACCTTTGTGCTCAAGATGGCTAGGGCTCCCAAGCACTAAGGAAAATGTGAGCAAAGCCCAGGAAACTGGCAGGCTGAGGATGCAGAGAGGGGAGGCTTGGGGAAGTCTGTGGGGAGGGGGGGGAGCGAATTGTCCCCTACCAGAGTCCCCTCCTGGACCCTCCTAAATGGTGCTGAGGACCTCTCTGTGAGGCCTCTGGGAGATGGGGGAGCAGTAGGTGTAGCCCAGAGTTGGCCTCCTGGACTCCACGCCCCATGCCTGGAGTGGGCACCCTTGCCCACAGCCAGCCTCACTGCTGCAAGTCCAAGTCCCAGACCCCCAAGGGGGCACTCGCATTCTCACTAAGTCCTCTTTAGGCTTCCAGTCAGTCCTGTCCCACCTGTATGAGGCCACTCCTTTCACAATGAGGAATGTGAGGCTCAGGCCGGCCGTACTGCTAGGAAGGCCGGCATGGGCACCCAGCACCCTCCAGAATGTTAGGGGCTTCAGTGGTATTCATCCTCAGTCTTTAAAATTGTCCCCCTCCCAGGCGCCTGGGTGGCTCAGATGGTTAAGCGTCTGCCTTCGGCTCAGGTCATGATCCCAGGGTCCTGGGATCGAGTTCCGCATCGGGCTCCCTGCTCAGTGGGGAGTCTGCTTCTCCCTCTGCCTCTCTCTCTCTCTCTCTGTCTCTCCTGAATAAATAAATAAAATCTTTAAAAATAAATAAATTAATTAAATTAAATAAAATTGTCCCCCTCCCCAAAATGTCCAGCACCAGAGGAATAGATAAGGCACCGTTTAGGCGAATAAAGGAACCAGACCCTTAATCGAGTAATGTCACTTCTCAGTGCCAAAGTCCCCAGTCGATCCATTACCAATAGGCTATTGGTTGGTAAGTGGAATGGAGGGGGTGGGGTTGGCAGCAGGTAAGGACTTGAGGAGACCAGTGAGACCTCTGAGGTAGGGCGCCGGGCGGCCAAGGGGCATGGAAGTGGGCTTAGTGGAGCTGGGGGGGACACGGGGGAGGGACTCAAGGATGGCTCTTGGTTTCGTGGCTTGAGGGGATGGTGGTGGCATTCTCAAAGGAGGGGAGACAGGAGGAGGGGCTTGAGGGGATGGTGAGTTTGGTCAGGCTGGCCTATATAGGTCAGAACTTGGAGGAGCATCAAGAGCTGGGGCATCCCTGGCATGTGGGATGAGATGGCACAGGGACAGGGAGAAGCCGGGGTAGCCCTCCAACAATGAGGGAGCCAGGACAGGAGCGGCCAGCGGCGGTGAGCCAGCAGTGTGGATGGTCGCAGAAGCCAGGGGAAGGATGCGGTTCTGAACAGACACTGCCCTCAGCTGGCTCTGGGGAGGTTGGATGAAGGAGGACAGAGTTGACCTTTGGATCAGAAACGCAGGTATCACTGATGGGAATGGTTTGCTGAGGTGTCCAGACTGGTGTGGGCTTGTCCGTCAAGCAAGAGGAACGGAACGGGAGGTAGGACAGGGCTCGCCTTGCCCTGGACCCAGCTCCATGACATAGCAAAAGTGGCCACAGGGGGATTCAGGAGCGTGACAGCTAAATGCAGCATCAATTCCTGGATTGGCTTGTGGGACACAGAAAGGGTGTGAGTGGGAAAATGGGAGAAATCTGAATAAAGCCCGGAGTTTGGTCAGCAGCGCTGTGTCAGTGGGAATGTCTTAGTTTTGGTAAATGTCCTGTGATTAGGCAAGATGTCACCGTTGGGGGAAGCTGGGTGAAGGGTGTATGGGACCACTCTGTACTATCGTTACAGTTCTTCTGCCAATCTAAAATTAATTCAAAATAAAAAGTTAAAAAAGAGAGACCAAAGCAGGTGAGGCGATAGCATGAGAAGTATGACCCCAGTTTTGTCAACTTGATGTGGCCACGTGTGTCATACGTGCACATGTGTGTGCCAGCAAAGGTCTGGGAGGACGCACACTGAGTCTTGGGGATTCGGGTGACTGCTTTTTTATTTATAGCTATGTATTCTCTGTTTTTTTTGTTTGTTTGTTTTTTACGAAGGGTAAAAATAGTTAAAACTTTTATAACTAAACAAAAGGTATTTTTAATTTTTAAAATTTGGAAAATAAAACAGAATGCTCCTCTGGCCCTGCTTTTTCCTCCACCCAATGTGGTCTGCCTGGTGAATTGACACTTTGTAAAGTCCATGACTTGCTCTCCAGAAGACAGAGCTTTGGGGACCGCCAGTGGAACTTGGGGTGGAGCGAAGAGACACCTCCACCCCCCCGCCACAGCTTACCAGAGCCGGGAACCGAACCTGGGCAGGCCCATGCCAGGGCCCTGGGAGCTCGGTGTTCGTGCTCATGAGAGGAACTCAAGTGATCCAGTGGGAAGGGCTGTTTCCTGACCCTCAGTGAGGGACCGTGTGGGGACAGGGTGTTGTCACTAAGTGGGATTGGACACCCTGCGGGCCTTTTGAGCTCAGGCTCTGGGCTTCTGGAGTGTTGGTGGGCCTAGGAGTCTGTGTTCTCATTGTCTCCCGTCCTCCTTTGGCCACAGGCATCTCTGGGAAGAGCCAGATCCTTTTTGCTCTCGTTTTCACCACCAGGTACCTGGACCTGTTCACCAACTTCATCTCCATCTACAACACAGTCATGAAGGTGAGGGGGTGGGTGGCCATGGTGGCGGGGGCTGCTGAGCCCAACAGACCCAGATAGCGTGCTTGCGAACTCAGGCGGTGGAGGCAGGCAGACCTGGATGTGTTGTTAGCCGCTGTGGGACCTGCGCTCAGGCAAGGCCTCGGGCCTCTGTGTACCTCCCTTTCCTCATCTGCAAAATGAGGATACTACTACTACTCACCTCAGAAGGCTTGTGGTGAAAATCAAATGAGGTAATACATGCAAATACACAATAGCCATCATATATATATATTTTAAGATTTATTTATTTTGAGAGAGAGAGAGAGCGCGCGTGTAGGGGAGGACGGAGGGAGGGGCAGAGGGAGAGAATCTCAAGTAGACTCCCCACTGAGTGCAGAGCCCAAGGTAGGGCTCGGGCTCCATCTCAATCTCACGACCCTGAGACTGAAACCAAGAGTTAGACGCTTAACCGACTGAGCCACCCAGGTGCCCAATAGCCATCATATATTAAACAGTCAGTAAAGGTTAGCTATCATAATGGTTAAAAAATAAGCAAAAAATTCAAACATGAACTCTGAGCTTTCAGAGAGATTATCCATCCGACATCCATTTGACAACGATTTATTGAGCACCTACTATGAGCCAGGAACTTGAAGAAGACATAAGAGGCTCCTATTCTCATGGAACCTATATTCTAAGTGGGGAGGCAAATAATAAAACAAGCAAGAAAATCTTTGGCTAGGGATGAGCCTATGCAAATCATTAAAATAGGGTGACATTTCCTTTAATTAAAAAAAGTTATTTATTTTTATTTTTTAAAGATTTTTGACAGAGAGACACAGCAGGGCGAGTGGGAGAGGGAGAAGAAGGCTTCCCACAGAGCAGGGAGCTCGATGAGGGGCTCGATCCCGGGACCCTGGGATCGTGACCTGAGCCGAAGGCAAACACTTAACGACTGAGCCACCCAGGTGCACCTGTTTGTTTATTTAAAGTAGGCTCCATGCCCAGCATGGAGCCTGGGGTTTGAACTCCCAACCCTGAGATCAAGACCTGAACTGAAATCCAGAGTCAGTTGCTTAACCAACGAAGCCACCCAGGCACCCCATAAAAAAAAAGTCTTAAACTGGGTGATGTGATAGAGAACGAATAGGAAGCTGTTTAGGGAGTATGACCAGGAAGGGCCTCTCTGAAGAGGTGACATAAATGTCAAGGTCTGTGTGACACAAGGAACCAGCCATGGGCTAATCAGCAGAGAGCATTCCCAGCAGAAGGAATAGTTGGTGCAAAGACCACCAGGACGGAAACAAGCTTGCTGTGCTCACAGGACAGGTGGGAGCTCAGCAGTCCAGGGCTGCCCGGTGGAGGTGGGGCTGCCATCAGAGGGCTGGGGGAGGGCAGATGGCGCAGGTCAACAGTTTGGACTTCATTTTGTGACAGGAAGCTGTTGCTTTGAAGCACAGCCCTGTTTTATAGGAGAAACTGAGCATCTCTTGGTTCCACTCTGATGTCTTAGGTTCTGGGCCATAACCATTAGAGGTTATGTTGGGGTGAGGCATTTTCTGAGCTTTTAATCAGCCATCGTAGCTCTTTTTTTTTTTTTTTTAAAGCTCTACACCCAACGTGGGTCTTGAACTCACGACCCCAAGATCAAGAGTCACATGCTCCGTTCACTGAGCCAGCCAGGCGCCCCTCAGCCATCCTCTTTAAGGCAACATAGGTTAGTGAAAGGAGCACAGGTTTCAGAGTCAGTGAAGTGGAATGTTACTGCTTGGATGCTGGTAACAGAGACTTAAAATAAAAGTTATTTTAGGGGCACCTGGGTGGCGCAGTTGGTTAAGTGTCCAGCTCTTGGTTTCAGCTCTGGTCATGATCTCAGGGGTGAGATTGAGCCCCGTGTTGGGCTCCGTGCTCAGCTCAGAGTCTGCTTGATTCTCTCTCCCTCTGGCTCTGCACCTCCCGCTCGTGCTCACTCTTTAAAATAAAGAAATATTTTTTAAAAAGAGTTAGTTTAATAAGATAAAGGTTTATTTTTACCTTACTCATAACATGGAATCTGGAGGTGGGCTGTCCAGGGCCGCAATGGCAACTCTTTTTAACTTTCTGCTCCATCATTTTAGTGTGACCAGGACTCACAGATGTGTGACCTGTGCAGTTGCTCAGAAGAGCCCCACACTTGGTTTAATGCTTTGCTGTTGCCATCTTGAAATTCAATTCTTTAAGAGGCCCTGCAAATTATACAGAGTCCAAATGTGACATCTACCCTCAAGGTTGCCTCAGGGTCACAAAATGGATGCTAGAACTCCTTACCATCACATCACATTCTGGGCAGGAAGGAGGAAGAAGGGGAGAAAGCAATAGGGTGTCTGCCAGCTGGCTAAGCCCTTTGTAAAGAGCCTTTTCCAAACTGTACCCAGTGACTTTCACTGGCACACTACTGACCATCCTTATCTGCAGAGGAGGTTGGGAAGTGTAGTTTTTAGTTGGGCACATCATCTAATAGTTCCGTTTTTAAGGAAGAAAGGCTATGTGAGGGGAGTTCTACCTATGTTGCAGGACTATTGTGAAGACTATGTGAGAAAATATATGTAAAGTGCCTAGCACCCAGAAGATACTTAACCAAGGCAGGTTCTCTTTCCCCTCTATATCAGAGATGTGCCTTTGGGATTCCAGGCATCTTGTTGGAATGGATGATGTTATCTGTGGGGTGCTGAACTTCAGTCTGAGGTCCTAAAATCACGGTCTTTACTTAAAGTCAACACAGAAATAGCAAACACCACCTACTTAGTTCATTCTTCTGCCCAAGGGTCTGACTTGGATAGCCCTGGGAGGGACTGCACACCCAGCCCTTGGCATGGCTGAATGAGTTGTAGGAACCTCAGAGAGGCCAGTTTCTACATTTGTGAAGTGAGGAAGTGATCACTTCATTGACTCATTCATTCTGGCATGTTTTGTGCCGGGCCCTGAGGTAGGGGCTGGGGATTTGGAGGTAGACATGAAGTCAGGACCCTCTTACAGAAATCCCCTCCCATAGGGGAAAGAGACTGGTACATAGACATTTACAGAACATGTGATCATGGGGGGCAGTGGGAATGGGTTCCCATGGGGCTATGGTGACAGAAAGTATATTTGCCTCATTCTGGTGAGAAAGTAGTCTGAGTTTTGAAGTACGAATAGGAGTTCTCTAGGCCAGTGAGTTCCTGGACCGGCAGCATCAGCATCACATAGGAACTTGCTAGAAATGCAGATCTTCAAGTCTACTTAGACCTACTGAGTCAGTAGTAACTCTGGGGGTAGGGGGGGAACAGCGGCCATTTATGTGATTCTGATGCACACAAATTTGAGAACCTCTGGCAAACCATAAAACCATCACATGCTGGAGGGCAGCTACTGTGATTAGAAAAAGAGAGCTTTTCTGAAGGAGCAAGGATCAGCTGATTCAAAGGATGTCAGTCCTGGTGCAACAATGCCCACAAGTCACTGAGGCAGATCCAGGAATTTGAGTTAAGAGCCCTGGAATTCCAGCCACTGCTAAATCCCTGGACAGAGACCAACTCTGGTCTTCTCCCTAACGCTGTGCAATAAGGAAAGGCTGGGCACCTTTGAGTGTTCATAGTTAATGCCATCAGTCCTCATTAGAAGCATGGAGTTATTTAACAAAAGGGTCATTAGCTTCAGCATCTAGGCCAATGACTCGAGAGAAATTGCACACACATTTCACTTTGTCCACCTTGGGGCAGTGCAGTAGCCCTTTATTTGGTAGGTCCCAACTCAGGGTAGCTTGGAAGCCCAGCAAATAGGTTGGAAAATGACTTCATTGATTCCCATGTGTTTCTTTCCCTTGTTAGGTGGTTTTTCTCCTCTGTGCCTATGTCACAGTGTACATGATCTATGGGAAATTTCGGAAAACATTTGACAGTGAGAATGACACATTCCGCCTGGAGTTTCTTCTGGTCCCCGTCATTGGTCTCTCCTTCCTTGAGAACTACAGTTTTACTCCCCTGGAGGTAAGAGAAGGGACCCAACTCATTATGTTAACAAAGCAGGCATCACAGCACCGCTTATGGCTACTGAGACCTTCTGTCCCACAGGTGGCTGGCTACTAGAGCACAGTCCAGGCTGTGATTGCAACTCAGGTCTGGGCTGCAGCCCAAGAATCTGGGGGCCCGCAAATGTAGCAGCAAGTTCTGATGCTAGTGTTCCCGGACTGTGTTTTGAGAAACTATGGTTTCATTTAAGACAGGTTTAGACAATAAAATTCCCCAGCAATTAAAAATTATGTTCTAAAGAATGTTCATGTGATGTAAAAAAAAAAGCACTTTGCTTCAATGTTTTAGAAATATTTTGTTATTTACAGAGGGGTGGAATGATACACTTATTTCAGAAACTTTTTTTTTGCTGCACTAGATTATTCCAGTAATTATATCCTTTTAAAGAGATGGGCCCTTCATGGTCTTTATCTGCCTCTTGTGGCCACTTTCTCTCTTTGGTTCAGGTCCTCTGGACTTTCTCTATCTACCTGGAATCAGTGGCCATCCTGCCCCAGCTCTTCATGATCAGTAAAACTGGAGAGGCTGAGACCATTACTACTCACTACCTGTTCTTTCTTGGGCTGTACCGGGCACTCTACCTGGCTAACTGGATCAGGCGGTATCAGACTGAGAACTTCTATGACCAAATTGCAGTGGTGTCTGGAGTAGTACAAACCATCTTCTACTGTGACTTCTTCTACTTGTATGTGACCAAAGGTAGGTACCAGAGCAGGGTTGCTCTGGAGGGTTACACAAGGAGTTACCCACTCAATAGGAGGGGATCTGGAAGTGAATGTATAGGTAAAAGTCTCTGCCCCTCCTGGTGCTTTTACTTCAGTTGACGGAAGATGAACAAGTGTTTCCAAGAAACAAGTACCATGAAGAAATACAGACCAGTTAGATATTACATGTACTTGTGCAAACACTGTGTAGAGAGAACTGTGGGAGGACATTTGACAATACTTGGTTAGAAAAATATAGATCAAAAACTAATGATGTATGGTGATTAACATAATAAAAAATTTAAAAATATATATATAGGAGAAAGATTCCACAGAATAGCTTATGTAGGAGCCCCGAGAATGGAACCAGGTTGGTGTGTCAAAGGACGAAAAGGCTAATGTGGTCACAATCTATAAAGCTGGGAGAGATCAGAGGTCAAGCAAGATCAGGGGTTACGGGTCTGCATTGCACTGATTGCTAAGCGCAGCCACTGGAAGGCTCAAGCGGCAGCCCAGCAGCGGCCGTGTAGAGTAAAAGGCAGCCAAGTAGGGAGACTAGGGATGGGGCAGTTGTGGTTGTTCACGAGGCCGCCCGTGTGTGGGCAGAGGTCACCTGTTTTGGGCAGATCTCAAAGGCACTGGACAGATGTGAAACAGAAAGGGAGGCCAAGTTTATGGCCTAAGGGAAAGTGGGAACAGTAACCAAGATTGAGGAGGGGGCGGGGTGTGTAAGTCTATAGTTAACCTGGGATGAAGTTTCCCCCTTGGCTTTAACAAACACCTATTATGAACTGGGAATTAGAGAAACTGCAGTTTATAAGGGAGTCTTTTCATGTGATAAATTCTAATTTCATTTCCATCTTCTTCTAGTCCTTAAAGGAAAGAAGTTAAGTCTTCCAATGCCAATTTGAGGGCCCCCGAGATGGTTCTACACCTTAACAAGGACACTGAACAAAGTATTTGAAATGTTCTCCTGGACCACTTCTACAGGACTCGGGCCAAATGTTACAATTAAAATGAGAAAAACGCTTAGTGTGGATTTCAGCAAAGCACTGATCATTCTACGTAGAAGACGTTCTCACCAATCTGCCCTTTAAATTATAGCAGGAATAAAAAACCTGGGCCAATTACACAAGCATGGGGCCTCACATCAACTGGATTATCAAGAAATCTTAGCTTAACCCATGTACTATTGCTCCCGAGGTCCTAGCGTGACCCTCATGCTAAGGAACAGTCAGTCAATCCCATCTGGAAAGATGTCTGTCTATAAAGCAAATGCCCCCAAAGATCAGACTTCAAGTACTAGAAGCATGGTATTTGATTTTCACTTTCAAGTTTAGGGAGTGATACAGAGGTGACCTAATATTACAGGTGTGAAGTATTACTTCAACTTATGTCTTCAAGCCACAAGCAAAAGCCGAATTTATCAGCTTTGGCTAGACTGAAGGTAGTTTCCTTCCTCACCTTTAAAACAGACTTGGGTCTTGCTATGGCTCACAGCAGCTCCACACAGTACTTTAATCCCAGTAACCTAGGTGGGTACTGCCACCATGATGACCATTTACCAATGAGGAAACAAATGACCAAGCTTTACCTACTAGGTGCCCGGCCTTGTTGCTTTGTGCCGATCAATTCCACCTCCCTTTCACATTTTTAGGTGCTAGGGTGATTACTCAAACACCCCCAAATGTGGTCTTGAAGCAAATAAAAACTCTTAAGAAAACTACCAGTGGACTATAGTCAAGAGAATTTTCAAGCAATAAAAAGTTCACACCTTATTGTCAACAGTGTTTTATTTATACCTACAAAAGAAAACAAGATGGTATCAAAAGGACAATTTACAAACTAAGAATAGTAACATAGCTCTTAGCATCCTGTGCCTGAACATCACACATCTACAAATCTTTCAAGTCTTAACGCAACAGGAATGTGTTCAGAGACCAGCAAGAACGTGAATAGAGCACTGATCCCAAGCAAAAGCCACCAACCTTTTAGATGAGAGAAGTCCACACAATGGATTGTTAGGGAGGAATTGGGGAGAAGCAGCCCCATAGCTTAATATTGAAATCCTTTCCCTAAATGAGTTTCAACCATGACTGCAATAACTAGCATCACATGAGGACTCTTCTGCTCATGTTCTGAAGCAAAGGCAGAACCTGAATTATGAGTGACAGAGAAGCAGAAGAGTTACTCTAAAGCTATATAGGAAAAACTCTGCTAAATTTCAATTGTGCTCAGGCCACAATTGCTTTGAGATTTGGAATATGCTGTTATTTTGACTTATGACAACATCCCTGGTGGAAAAAGGGAAGCAAGCAGCTGACCAAGTAACACTTGCTTGCCCAGAGACCCTTCCCACAAAGGGATACTTTAAGACCTGCAAGAGATTAAGTAGGACACCCCTTGTGGTGGCACCTCTGTTTAAAAACAAAGAAATCTCTATAATGGACTGGTCAGTGCTTAGACCAAAAAAAATTTTTTTTTTTTTTTTTTTTTGGCAGAGGGTGAGGGGGCACTTTGGTTTTAAAAGCACAGAGCAGTTTTGCCAAGTTTTCCTGTGCCTACCATCCTCCCTCAGCCTCAATTTCTAGAAGAAGGGGAAAAAAGAAGTATAGGTTAAAGAAGAAGAAAATGTATGTGTGGGGGGAGGGGGAGACAACATGTCAAAGTTCTTACATGCATACATTTCAGCTGATGCTGACAACCTACCTGTATGTTGCACATTCAACCATACTTTTCAGAACCCCTCAGAAACCATCCCTTCTCTCCCTGAAGAATTTTAAAAGAAAAACAAAACGGAAAAAAAACCTCAAGTATTTAGATATTACAAACCAGCAAGCACCCTCAGGCCTTAGCCAAAGAATGCAGTGGAGCCTTCCCCCTTTAACTACATTGTTAATGAACAATACCAATAATAGCACAAAAAATTAATAGTCCAACACTGGATATGGAAGAGGGTTCTGGGGCTGTCTGATCTCCCTGTCCTGTTACAGTGAACACAAGAGCAGAAAACTCCTTCTAGGCCCATGTGCTATAGAAGTCTCAGTAAAACAGTTATCACTATCAAGGGGACAAACTCACCTACCTTCAGGAAGAAGAAAAGTGAGGACTTAGGCTTTAGTCCTCTGTAACTTTTCTTAAGCACTACCTACCTGTAAAAAGCTGAGTGTAAAAGGATGCTGAAGAAAATTTGCATCCAAAAGCTGTTTACAAAGCACTGCAGAGAAGAGTATGAAGAGAATTAAGAGCTTTCTTAGACCCCCAAAGGTTCTTTATTCAAGATAATTTGGCCAAAAGGGCTGAGTAGCTAGCAAAGAGATGCTTTTATTCTAGCTCTACAGATACTGAGTTTAAAAAGAAAATCTGCCACCGAGTATATTGTTTATAATTAAAGGTGGTTTTTATACTGCAGGTGAATGCATACTTAACTGGTTATTTAACTGGCTAATAAATTTTCAGTGAGCATTTATGTTCATTCTGCTCAGAACAGCTATCTAGTTGGAAAATGAATTTCACAGATGGTCCCTGGTTATGTGGGGAAGAAAAATAGGCAGCTTCCACCCAGATGCTGAGATGCTACATTTAACCATCGCAATAAACACTTGGGGTTTTTAATTTAAAAGATACACTTAAAAAACTCAAAAATTCAATGTCTAACCAGACTAAAATGGTTATTTTTCAGTAATTGGGAAGGGGCAAGGCAGAATATAAGGGAGACAAAACCAATTAGGAATTTTTTTAAACTGTCAAATGCACTTAACAAGCAATCAGCCAAAAAGACAATGGCAAAGCACTGTCTTAAAAACTCATCAGGCCTGAGGAACATTAAAAAGCATTACAGAAAATGTGCAGGGAATTCCCTCTTGGTTTTCTAACCCAGTAATGAGAGCAACCTAAAGCACAGATGCCATCCTCTTCTGAATTCAACCCTCTACCCTCCCCCCTACCCCCCCAACTCAGGACAACAAAAAAATGGGCTCCCACAAAAGGGCCTAATACCTTACTTTTTCTTTTAAGATGAAAAATAGCTCAAGTATCCTCAACATGCAAGAAGTTGGGGGGGGGGGAACTCTTCCAGTCAGCTATATATATATGTTTTTACAAAATCTGTTATTACAGACTGGATCATTTTGGCGGACAGAAGAAACCTGGCAGTGAATTCTAACTAATCTGCATGAAAGACAAATCACAATGGTTGGGGAAAAAAAAAAGAAAAAGAAAGAAAAAAGGGGAAGAGAAAAAAAAGGGAAAGACAGCGTTCCTTTAAATGTAGTAAGTCTGCACAAGTCACTACCACTCGAGTGGTTTCATTTACGTGAAGGAGGAGGGGGAGGAGGAGGAGGGGGGTACTGGTAGGCAGTCTGCCCCATGTAACCTATCATATTGGTAGCTCCCGGAGGCTGTGCAAACTGTTGTGACATCAGTGGCTGTGGCTGCTGCCCAGACCGGCCTATCCCACTAAACTGCTGGCTAGAGCTCTGTGAACTTCTCCCAGTTGAGGTGGTGCTACTAGCCCCGTAAGTGCCGGCGCCGTATTCCTGGGCTGTATAGCCACTGGTGCCATAAGCAGCTGCCCCATAGGTGCCTTGACCATAGGTGTATTGGCCTGCTTGTGCTCCAAAGGCAGAATTTGGACTTCCATAGCCACTGCCGTTAGCATAACCAGCTCTATCGGTTTCGCTACGATCCCGATAGCTCGCAGAGTCTCTCCGGCCACCATCCTTGACTCCTCGAAGCCTCCGGTCACACTCATCCTGATACATCAGATTGGGATTGTTGGCTGAAGAAGTGGTCCGGTATCGAGAACGACCTCCTGAGGGGAGGACACGAGGTATTTTTAATGCCAGATATAGAATCCAAACATAACCAGATGTAAAAACTCTTATGAGGCACGAAGTATTCAACCTTCTTTCTTGATCTTTAGCTAGGCCAGCCTCCAAATCAGGTACTTTAAAACATATACCCATAATCTGATTCTTTAATAGGACATACTCAAAACAATGGTGAACATTAAAGGTCATTCGACTTCTCACCGTTTTTGGTCCTTTTTCCTTTGAGAATTTACCAAGAAACACAATCTTCAAAATAAAGGAACAATGTAAAGAAGTTTAGGTGACTTACCACAGGTTAAAAAACAAAGACAAGCAGCTAAGTTCGGACCACCCTACCTGGACCCTCTATTAGTACACAGTTCTCAGATGTTGCTCTGTAGACCTAACTTCATCGGAATTACCTCACAAGCTTTGGGATCCTAGGCTCAATTCCAAACCCACTTAAAAAACAAAACCTTGTTATTTAAGAAACTTCTCAGGTAATTTTAACAGCTTCAGCATGCAGTAAGTTTGAGACAAAGTAATACCAAACTGGAAGTCAAGAAGCTCCGATCCTAGAATATTTTGCAACTATCCAATTTTCAGATCTATTAACTACGCCTAAGACCATAAAATGGTGTAAAATTACTATCTCTTAACCTGGAAAACTGAAAACCTAATATACACTGAGGCTCTTTAAGGTATTAAAAGCAACCAGAATTCAGCTTAATTCTGAACATGCACCATGTACTTCAAAACACAAAGATCAGTTTTATTATTACCATCTACAGAAATCCTGGGATGCAAAAGGAGGAAAATGACAGCCCCCGCCCCACGGTCTGTCTTAGAAGAGATTACGAAAAACTACTAAACACTGTCCTCTGTTATTAACCAACATACTCAAAAGCCTTCACAGGACTTGGGGGAAAAAAAAAGGCACAATGAGCACAAAAAGATACCTTGGCAGTACCTGGAAAACTCCAGGACTTACCCTTACCCCCTCCTCCGCCGCCTCCTCTGTGGTCCACCAACTGCATCAGTTTTGGATTGATAGCCTGATTAGCCTCTTCCAGCACTTTGATCAGCTCTCTGGCCTGCTTTAGGTTCCCTGGGGTGAAGAAGGTGTAGGCGGTGCCCTTGTTGGTGCTACGGGCTGTTCGGCCAATACGGTGCACATAATCCTCTGAGCTGTTTGGATAGTCATAGTTGATCACAAACTTGACATCTTCCACATCTTCAAAGCCAACGGTGAGTCAGTTGGTAGGTTGATGTGGCAGGGAAAGAGAAGGTAAAGGACATGCCAACAACAGGTGGGAAGCACGAATGCAGATGACAGCAAGAGGAAAAAAGATTAAGTTAGTAACCACTCTGAACAGGAACAAAAAAAGACTCATCCCAACAGAGTAAAAGAGGATTAATGATTCT